TCCCCATCTTTTTCTCTCAACTTGGGTGACATGTCCACTCAGGGAAGATTCCCTGAAGTTATGCTGGGGCCTGGAGGGGCCGAGACCAAGAGGAAGGCATGGCCCTGCCCTCAGGGGGGCCTCCCAGGAGGAGGTGGAGATCGGCCTGGATGTCAGGCTGTGCAGTGAGGGGGTGAGGCAGCTACGGAGCCATTATCCTCTCCTCCACGGGCAAGCAATACAGGAAAAGAATTCCAAGCGAGGCGTGTCCTGAAGAGAGGGCCTCTGAGCTGGGCTGCCAGCAGCGACGAGGGGGAGGGAAAGTACAGAGCCAGTGCAAAGGCCTTGAGGAGGGGTGGGGGGTGCAGGCGGCAAGAAGCTATGCCTGGGGTCTGGTGGTGGCAGAGCAGAGTGATCAGAGGTTGGGCTGGGAGGAAAACTGAGGATACCAGGCTGGGCCCTCCCATCATTAGCTGCGTGAGCTTGGGCTCATCCCTGCACGTCTTTGAGCCTCAGTTTCCTTCCCAGAGGAGAATAAGGATGGCACCTGAGTAGGGAGAGCTGTTGAGACTCCCAGGACAGGGGTGCCCAGGATGGGGCCAGCCCAGGGGCTCTGGAAGTATGGTCTTCACTGTCCAGGAGCCACCGGCAGGGGAAGCCCACCCATGAAGCACTTGTCACACCACCCTGGTCTGACTCTGGGACTCAACAGGCAGATTACAAACTTCTGACTCTAATCCACGGTTGCTGCTCTGTAAACACCTGTGCACCTGAATTGAAGTCAGCAGCACCCCCACCTCCCAGTCTCTAAACTATTTTTTCTAATTATCATTTATTGAGCACTTACTCTGCACCTTGGACAGCAAGGAGATCAAACCAGCCAATCCTAAATGATTAACCCTGAATATTCATTGGGAGGACTGATGCTGAAGCTGAAACTCCAATACTTTGGCCACCTGATGTGAAGAGCTGACTCGTTGGAAAAGACCCTGATGGTGGGAAAGATTGAAAGCAGGAGGAAAAGGGGATGACAGAGGATGAGATAGTTGGATGGCATCACCGACTTGATGGACATGAGTTTGAGCAAGCTCCAGGAGATGGTGATGGACAGGGAAGCCTGCTGTGCTGCAGTTCATGGGGTCACAAAGAGTCGGACATGACAGAGCGACTCAACAACAACTCTGCACCAAACATTCAGAGTGTGTGTATTCTTTTTGTTTGTTTTTTATTTTGTCCGTGCAGCGTGGCTTATGGGATCTTAGTTCCCCAAACAGGGTTCAAACCCAAGACTTCAGCCATGAAATAGCCAAGTTCTAACCACTGGACCTGCTTACTTTTTTTTAAACACTTTTTCTATTTCTTTAATTTTGTATCTATAAAAGATGAATATTCACAAAGCTTAACTGTAACAATCATTTCCTGATGTATGTAAGTCAAATTATTATGCTACACACCTTAAACTTATACAGTGCTGTGTGTCAATTAGATCTCAGTAAATCTGGAAGAAAAATTCAAAAAAAATATGAACATTTAACCTTTTCAAAAACTTCTGTGCCTGTGTATTCTTATTTAATTCTCCCAACCACTTGGGATATAGTGATATATAAAATGCTCAACATCTTATACAAGTAAAAACCAAGCCTGACAGGTTAACAACATAATCTGCCCAAGGCCATATGGATACGAGTGGCAGGGTTTCCTGACTCCAACACCAGTGTTCTTTCCACTGTACCCGAACCTGGAAGAACATGTCTGATCAGAGGTCAGACCTCCCACCTCCCGCCTCCCTCCCCACCATACACTCTCCCAGACTAAGCTTCTGTCTGTGAGTATTGTACCCTTGACCCTGACCTGTGCCCCTCAGCCCTCCCCCTTCCCAATGCACAGCCCCTCCCCCGCCACACCCAACAACTCCGCGAACACCCCAGGGTCACTGCGGCTCTGGCCTGCAGCTCAGGTGTCCAAAGCCCGGCCCCTTCCCTTCTCCCAGGAGACCTTGGGTTCTGCAGGGGGTCACCACAGCCTCAGGGTTCCACAGACCCCAGTCAGGGAGAGCAAGGCCTCCCAGGGCTCTGCAAAAAGCAAGCACGTCTGGACCCCGTGCCCAGAAATTCAGAATGAGCCAGTCTGTAGGGGACCCAGGTTTCAGGGTTTCTTTAAGATGCCACAGTGACCCTAAAGTGCAGCAAGATTTAGAAGCGATGCTCGATGCTCCAGGCGATTGCTGGGAGCTGGTGGGAAAGTGAAAGCAGGGCCCAGGCCTGAGGAAGGAGGGAGAGGACAACCTGAACCCCGTGGGTCTCACCCTCATGGTGCCTGGAGGTGCTGAAGGGCCTTCCTGCCTGGCCCTGGCTCAGCCGAACAGCAGATTTCCCCATCACATCTGGGGATCTGGGAGGCGGGTGGGGGGATGTAACCAATGCCCCAGGGGACAGATGAGGGACTGGGACCTTCCACAAAGCGGGAACAGTGCCCGCCAGAAGATGGCTCGGGAGCTAACGGGTTAAGGGTCACAGCCAACCCAAAGCAGCTCCACCAGGCAGAGTCATCAGTGGGCTTTACGTCTGATGGACAGAATTTCATTTGCTCTCCTCCTCTCAGGGGCCCATCTCAGGAGTAAATCTGGGACCGGCTCCACAGAACCCAGATTGGATCCCAGAAAAACCCTGCCGGTACCGAAAGGCCTCCGCCCAGGGAAGGCATCCTGAACCTTACCATTATACCCTCCCTTCTGGGGAGAGAGAACAGGCCCCAGAGTTCCCCAGCACCACACCTCTCCCAGGATGGGTATACGGGGGATTGTGGGGCGGGGTGTGGTAAGGGGTCACCAGCATTCCTGGGGGAGGGTCAGGAATGAGAGGGCAAGGACCCCTCCCATCCCCAGCGGGGAAAGGAGCAGAAGGGGGCGCTGGCCACCAGGCTGGTTCTGCCAAGGACAGAGGCCCCGTGTCCTCATCGTCCTCCTCCAGAAACCCTCCCCCTCTCCAAAACCCCTGCTCTCCAGGGATGAATACGAGGCCTGCACCTTCCCCTGCAGGGGCCTGCAACAGATGGAGGGGATCAAGACTTGCCAGCATGGTGGGCAGTGTGTTCACAGCACCCACAGCCCTGGGCATCTGACAGCACTCCCCCCCCCTGCCCCGCACCCCTGCAAGCCCACCTTCCTCACCCAGCACCTCTCAGCAGAGAGCCCAGCACAGCACTTGGAAACAGGAAGAGAGGGAGAGAGACAGAGACAGAGGGAGGGGAAGAGAGGAGACTCTTCTGTCCAGCCTGGCTTCTCTGCAGACCCAGGGCACCCACCGCCATCCCCACCCCCATCCTGGCACAGCTGGGCCAAGGGGTGGGGGGGTAAGGGAGGAGGCAGGGAGTCGTGGGACCCCACACCTGGCTTCTTACCCTCTGTAACCACCCCTCCCCGCCCCAGGGTGGGGGTCTCAGGCCGAGTCACGGATGCCACAGACACCACACCTCCTCAAGAGGAGGAACCAAGGGCTGGAAGGATGAGCAGGGACCCACCGGGATCGAGCGATGCCAGGCAGGCAGGCGGCGGGCGGGCCGCAGTGGGTGTCGGAGACTGCCGCGGGCAGCCGGACACGACCGACTGGATGCTCGTCCCTCCGTCCCTCTGTCCATCCAGGGCGGCTCCTCTCTGGGCGGCTCTGAGGCCGGGCGGGCGCTGTTAAAAAGCTTTTTATGTGTGTGTGTGTTAATCACATGATTGCCGTTCACCTGTATTTCGAACAAAGACAGCTCACTGTTTCAAGGCCCCGAACAAGAGTCTGGGCACAGGGAAGAGAAGGGAGGCGGGGGGAGGAGGGTTGGCAGCGCCGGGGGTGGCGTCGAGGAAAACTGGGGGGAGATTGTCCAAGGCCGGCGAGCGAGAGAAAGAGAAAACCCTTATCAAACTCCTAATTCACTGGGCTCCGAGGCCCCAGACACACTGGCCCGATTGTCTGGTTGGTTGTGTGTGTGAGCATGTGTGTGTGTGTGTGTTTCAGTGTCCGCTCCCCCCACCCCCAACATGCCTTCGCCTCGTGTGACTACCTCATTGTGTCCCATTACCCACCCCCTCCAACACCCTTGGCCTTTCCCAAGCATGAGGCCTTGCCTGGACCCCCTTTCCAGCCCCGCTCCAGACGCGACTCTCTTGGGCTGGGCCCGGGGCCTCGCCCAGCCGCTGAGGAGCTCAGAACCGTCCATGGTCATCATTGCAGCCCCAGCTCCATCCATCCTCCTCACACACCCTCACCTCTGCCTCAGCACCCACCTTTTGAAAAGAGAGAGGGGCTGTGGTCTCAGAGGCCTGAGAAAGCCTTAGGTGATGGGCAGGACAGAAAAATGAAGGAGTCACCCTGCTGGGGGGAGTGGGGTTGAGGGGAGAAGTGGGCAGAGAGGAAGAAGAGGCAGGGCCACTCCTCACCCTTTCTCGGGGTGGGGGAGTGGGGGGTGTCTTGACAACCAGGACTGGGACTCCCCCTACCAGGGTGGAGGGAGTTGGGTCCCAGGAAATGGGGCCCCAGGAGATTTTCAGACCTACTTGAAGAGGACCCCAGCCCAGCGCGGGCCCAGCCTCCCGCACACTTCAGTCTGTCTCTCTTGAACCAGCCCAGGCCTTGTGGTGCAGGGTGTCCGGTGAGAGGAGACTGGGGGTGAAGCCTGGGCATCTGCACTGGGCAGGGGGTATCTAGCTGCGCCCCGCTTCACCAGGTATGGACATGTAATCTTCCTCTCTCCTGTTGTCCAGGAAAGAGGACAGCCTGGGTGGGGGGTAGGAGGCGGGGTGAGACAGGCTGGCACTCAATAAGAGGTCTTAAGTGAAGCAACCAGTGCCACCCCCCACCATATGACAGAACCGTCACCTGCCTTCTCCTCTGCCAGCTGCCCATTCCGACACCTGAGACAGAGATTGGGGGTCCCAGGTGGGCCCAATTTTCCCCCAAGGGATACGTTGTGACCCTGCCCACCTGCCTCCACAGGCTTTCCCGGCCTGACCACCCCCACTCCGACACCTTCCCAGGATGGGCCTGGGGGCAGCCAGCAGCGCAGGGAGCTGGGGTGGGGGGGCCTGGCGGAGGAGCCCAGAGTGTTGGGGATGAAGGAAAGCGCTGGAGGCTCCACCTTCTGCCCTTCCCTCCCTCCCTCCCCTCCCCCTCCCCCTCTCCCCCCTCCTTCCTTCCCCAGCCCTCGGCGGCAGCTCAGCGCTCAGTCAGTCTCAGGCTGTCCGGCCAGGGTGGTTGGTGGTGAGGATTCAGGCTCCGTCCTGACAAGGCCCGTGGCCTGAGGCTCGGGGGCCCCCAGCCCCTCCCAATCAGCCCACCAGCGTCCCCCACCCCCGGCCCCCGAGCTGGACCGCACACCTTGGGACACGGTTTTCCACTTCCTCAGGACGAGCCCTAGACTGGAGGACAGGTCCGAGGAGGTGAGTGAGTGCGCAGCCCGCTCCTCCCTTCCCAGGGCCCAGGCCTGGGACCCCGCGGAGGGGCGTGGGGCGGAGAGAAGCTGACACCGGCGTCTGCCCCCAGCCCAGTTCCTCTTCTAGTCCCCCGTCGGGGGTCAGGCGGAAGGGAAAAAGGGAAAGGTGAGCGAAAAGGTGGGAAATTCCAGGAGCCAGGATTAGAGCAGAAGAAAGAGTCCGTTTTTCTTCCTTTCCATCAACAAACCTCCACCCAAGAGGAGGTTTTTTTTTTTAAGAAAAAAACCGAACCCGAACCCACCCACAGAAAGAGGCGGTTGGGACCAGGTGGGGGGAAGACATGGAGGCGGGAGCTAAGAGGCCGAGCCCAGGCCTGGCATGTGCGCGGGCCCCAGGGGCTGCGGTGGGTTTAGGGGCAGCCGGCCGGTCCCACCTTAGGGCTGTGCCTGAGTCGCGTGCCGGGCCGCCGTCGGGGCTGCGCGCACGCCGCCCATCGCGCCCTCCTTCCCGTCGTCCAGGTGAGCGTTGGACTCTTCGCCAGGACCCCGGCGGCGGGCCACAAGCCGCACGTCAAGCGGCCCATGAACGCCTTCATGGTGTGGGCGCAGGCGGCGCGCAGGAAGCTGGCCGACCAGTACCCGCACCTGCACAACGCCGAGCTCAGCAAGACGCTGGGCAAGCTCTGGAGGTGAGCGCCCCCGACCCGCCTCCGAGGAGCTCCCGCCAGGCCCTCTACCCGCGGGTGGAATGGGGCGAAGCGCTCACGGCCTGGGCCCTTCTCCTGGGGCAGCCGCCTCCTCGATGGGACTAGACGGCAAGCTGAGGGATCGGGCCCGCCCTTCCCCCAGTACCCCCTTGGGGTTGCTCTCCCACCGATCTCCAGCGGCCTAGGCCCCGCTCCCCAGCCAGGGCACCGGGCTGGAAGGCGCCCCCTCGCGGTTGGAATTCTGCCGATGGCAGGAGCTGGGGCCTGGGCTTCTGAGGAGTGGGCAAGAGTGAAGGTGGAGGGGAGAGAAGGCTGGTGGAAGCATCCACACCATAGTTGTGCACTAACCCCATTCCCGCAGGTGCCACTCAAGGGTGCGACTGCCCCCGGGTCAAGGGGGATGCGAGGGAAACGTCTGGGAAAGAACTGAAGGCCTGGCTGGAGAGGCAGGGAAACTGAGGCAGCCAGGTGGAGAACTGCAGGGCTGAGATGGGGGCAGACAAGGAATTCAGGTCCGGGTCTTTGAAAGGGTGAGGGATGGAGGCCAAGCAGGCCGCTGCAGGTCCCTGTCCTACCCCAACCTCCTCCTCTGCACCCTTCTGAGCACCCCTCCTTCAGGCCCAGGGCTTCTTCATCCCCCAGCGAAGGGGAAGTGTGGAGAGGAGACTCCCCCTCCCACCGGGTCCCAGAGCTGCCAGGCTGGTCTCTTCCCCTCCCTCCCTCTCCCAGTCCAGGCGCCATCTTCCTTTCCAGGGCCCCACCCAGGATTGAGTAACCTCCTACCCCTCCAGCCCTGGAGCTGAGAGCCCTGGCCAGGAGGAACGGCTGGCCCCTTTCCTACCCCGGGTCCCTCAGAGTCCCAGGTTCTCTGGAAGCAGCTCAAACTTTGGGGGAAAAACATGCCCCTGAGAAGGCAGTCGGCCTCACCTCTGGTCTGGGGTTTAGGCTGTTCCCTTGGGAGTACATTGTTGACCAAGGCAACGCCACCCCCTCAAGAAGTCCTGGGCAGCTCAGAAAGAGAACAGGGGTTCCAGAAGGTGAAAGTCTGCAGAGGTTACCTGATTCCCCACTGGACTGTCCACGAGATAGGGCCAGGAAGGCAGAGGAGCTGCCCAGGCCATGTAACAGCTGGTGGCGGAGCCAGGGCCAGAACCAGGTCCCCTGACGCTTCAGCCAGTGGTCTTCCCACACACCATCCTCGGTGACAGAAGTGGGTCACCCCTACCCTCTACGACACAGTCCAGACGTTGTGGGGTGAGGGCAGAGGAGAGCAGGAATGAGGAGCATCCGAGCTGCAGAGAGTGTCAGGGGAGCCTGCCACCCCTCCCCTTGCCGGCCCCAACACAGTGGACCTTGGCCTAGAAGGCCAAAGGCTTAAGGTGGTGGAAGGAGAAGGAAAACCCCCAAGAGACCGAGAGGAATTCACATCCAGCCCCTTGGGCCTGGCCCTGGCCATGTGTTTGCTAAAGGCCTGGTGCTTCTTCCCCACCCCCCTCAGCACTCGGCTCACCCCAGCAGGCCGTGGTCAAGCTGCTGCATGGACTCAGAGGGTCTAGCCTTGCACAGGAGCAGAGGTCGAAGCCAGCTCCTCTGCCCAAGGTTCATCCACATCGTGGCAGGGTTAGCCCAAGCCAGGACCCTTGGTGCCGTGGGGCAGAGACCGAGGGAGGCAGGAGGGAGGGAGGCAGACAGGCAGACAGAACAGGCCTTGTGGACCATGAGCAGACCACAGTGTAAGCCCAGTGAGAGCATCAAGGCAAGGATGGACAGCCCCCCGCCCACCGCTCCCCCACGCTGTTGCCAAGGATTTAAGGTTGGACCCTCCATCGTCCCTGTCTGTCCCTGTTCCCCCAGCCCAGAATCCCAGGTTGGGCTCCTCAAAGGGACTTGTTCCTGACCACCCCTCACCTCACGCTGTGTGCACAGGGGCCCAAGGTGACCCCCAGGGACCAACCTGAGTGGGGGGCGGGGAGCAGGCGGGAAACCAGGAAAGCAGGCACTGCTTACTCAGGACCCAACCCCAGCCGTGGGAGGGTGACCAGACAGTGACAAGGATCAAAGGCTACGCCAACAGGGGGTGGGCTACCTGGATCCTGGGTGGGGACCCTGGGAGACCTCTGAACTGAGTTAGGCTAGCCCGCCTCTCCAGGGGCTTCTCCTGAAATCTGCACCCCCACCCCCACCCCCCACACCGGCTTGTGAATCTCAGGCTATCAAGAAGGGGGATGGCTAGCTGGGCAGAACTGGCAATCAGGGGCTGTATACATGAAAAGAGAAAGACATGCAGACAGATTGTATGGGATGCTGGAAAGGGGTCGATCAGACACACCAGCGTCCAGATCCTGGCTTGCAAGTGGCTAGGGGAGTGTGCCAACCACTAACCTTCAGTGCCCGCCCAGGAAAGTCCTGTTAGATGTTGATCCCATGGTCCTGGGGGAGGCGGTGTATTGATTGACCCACCTGGGGAGAATAATTAGAGCCAAGAGACAGAAAAGGTGGGGTCACAGGCTGGAACCTCCCTGGACCCTTAGGTGAGCCCCCACGGGAGCAGGTAGAGCGGCGGAGCCAGTGTGCCCCACCGTGGAGGCGCCCCCCTCCAGTTGGGGATTCCAGTTTGGGTGGGGAATCAGCCCACCGCCCCCGCTCCCCATTCCAGACCTTGGAGACCCAGAGGTGAAGAGCAACCCAGGTTTGTAGTTAGAGCTGTGGTGACCGAGGGCTGGCACTGGAGTTAAGGTGAGATTTGGAATTGGGTTTCTGTGGTAGGGGAGGACGGGTTTGGGGTCAGGAAAGAGCCTGAACAGAGCTGAAACTGAAGGTCTGGGTGCAACTGGGGTTGGGTTTGGGGATGAGATTGGTGTTGGGCTCAAGTTAGGACTGGGGTTGGGGCTGGCAGACCCCACCCTCACCTCCCCTGGGTAGGTTTCTCTCCAAGTTAGGGCGCTGCTGGGAACTAGCGCTGGGAGGCGCCAATGAGTGCAAGCTGAAGTCTTCCCTCTCTTCTAGCCTGTGCCCCCCACTCCCACTCCGTGCCCCCTGCCATTTTCTTGTGGATTCACATCTGGTTGCCAGTGGGCAGAGGGCACAGGGAAGGTTTAGGGTGGGAGAGGGAGTGCAGGGTCCCCTGCCATCCTGGGAGCCTCTGTGCCGGGGCCACGGCTGGTTGAGGTGCCCCCACTTGCCACCTCCCCTCCTCACAAGGCACCCACCTTTGGGCCTGCCCCACCTACCCTGGGCTGGCTGGGGGCGGGGGAGAGGGCGCAGCTGGGGTCAGAAAGGCTGCATCCCACTCCCAACCCCCGATGGTCTGGGGTCCCCATCCCATCACTCAGCTAGAGGGGCCCTTGGAGAGAGCTGGGCTGGGCTGGGCTGGGCTGGGCCGTGGCCCGGGGGGAGGGCAGCCGAGCAGGCTAAGCTGGAGAGGAATGCCGCTGCCCGCTAGGAGGTGCCTGGTATGACCACCCCCTCCCATCCTGGGCAGGGAGGGCCCCGCCTTCTCCTGACTGGGTGAAGAGGGCACCCACGGGGGAGGGGTGCAGCTGGAGAGAGAGGCCCTTTGGGTTAAAGGACAGAGCTGCTCCTGGAGAGTCCCTTATGTCTGGGGCTCCGGGAATCTGTTTCTTCCCCTGAGTCCCTCTTCAAGGCATCCTTCCTGCCCTCCTCACCAGGGGCACCCCAGCCCTGAACTCCCCTGACCCCAGCCCTGGCTGGAATCAGGTGGGTGGGTGTACGGTCTGCAAGAGCTGCATTCCACTGGCTGGGCTCAGACTGGGGAGAGGGTCTCAATGCCCCCGTCCAGGGTCTTGAAGACAGGAGCTTCCTTTATCTTCTGTGTCTCCCTGGACAAGGAGATACAATCGCCCCGTGAGGTGGGGGTCCGTACGTAGTGAGGGGCACAGGCATCCTGCCCGCCTCGGCCCCACCATGCTGGAATTCACAAAAATGACTCCAGAGTTGAGGGGTTCCACCGCAGGTCCTCTGGCCCACCACCCCACAGGCAGCATTAGAGTTGTACCTGTTTCTCAAGGTGCCGCCCCCCACCCCCCCCAGTCCCCAGGTCCCTTGCACAGTGCTTCACAGCCATTAGCTTGGCCACTCCCACACCTAGAAGTAGGTATTATCCTCGTTCTATAGGTGAAGAAACTAAAGCTCAGAGAAGTGACTTGCCCACGGTCACATAGCTGGGAAGTAGCAGACACTGGGCTCTTCCTCCTGTTTGCACACCTCCAGTCCCAGGGAGTTCACCCCCTAACGAGGCAGCCGGCTCCACTTGCAGACGGCTTTGAAGAAAGAGTTTTTGGTGGCTCAGAGGGTAAGGCGTCTGCCTACAATGTGGGAGAGCCGGGTGCAATCCCTGGGTTGGGAAGACCTCCTGGAGAAGGAAATGGCAACCCACTCCAGTATTCTGGCCTGGAAAATCCTGTGGATGGAGGAGCCTGGTAGGCTACAGTCCATGAGGTCGCAAAGAGTCGGACACAACTGAGCGACTTCACTTTTCAAACTGAAGGAAGCTCTGTGCCTCTTGTAAGCTCTATTCTAACCCCATCCTCAGGGACTGCCTGGAGCGGCAGGGTGGTTCTTTGCTCACACGCCAGTCCCTGAGAGGTTTGGGGGCAGAGATGGCTGCCCTCTGAGGCTCTGGTGCCTTGGGCTCACATCCTCCAGTCCCTAGACCAGACAGCGCGACTCCCAATGGGACCCTGCCCGCCAGTCTCCCCCAGCCCCCCCGGGGCCTCATTTCTTCCAGGGCAGGCACTCATGGTGGACCCTCTGCTGTCTCCCCACCCCAACCACCCCACCCCAGGCTGCTGAACGAGAGCGACAAGCGCCCCTTCATTGAGGAGGCCGAGCGGCTGCGGATGCAGCACAAGAAGGACCACCCAGACTACAAGTACCAGCCGCGGAGACGGAAGAATGGGAAGGCGGCCCAGGGAGAGTCGGAGTGCCCAGGCGGGGAGGCTGAGCAGGGCGGGGCGGCCGCCATTCAGGCCCACTACAAAAGCGCCCACCTGGACCACCGGCACCCGGGCGAGGGCTCCCCGATGTCAGACGGAAACCCTGAGCACCCCTCGGGTGAGCCTGGGGCTGGGAGGAGGCTGTGGGCGGCGGGGAGAGGCAAAGGCTGGAGCAGGACTTGAGACCGGAGGCTCTGGGAAGGGCTGGCGGGGCTGTCGTGGCCCAGCTGGGCTTCAGGGGCCCACTGACAGTTCAGAGTGGGCTCGGTGTCGGGGAAGGCGGCTGGGCAAGAGGGCTCTGGCCAGGACTGCTAGGAGGGGGCACTGGTTCAGGGTGAAGAGACCCGTGAAGGAGGCCAATGAAGGCAAGTGGGCCAGTTACACCAGAGAAAGGTGGGACAGGACGATTCTGAGAGACGGGAGGGCAGACGGAGGAGAGCGCGTTGCCTCTCCCCCACCTCCCAGTCTGACGGGGGAGACACGGCGTGTGACGTTGAGCACATGGCACAGAGGAGCCAGACGCAGGGCCTCCTGTTTCATTCTCATCGGTGATGAGTGCAGCTAACGTTAATTGAGCACTTACTGTGTGCCAGTCACTGTGCTACTTGCTTTATGTATGTTCACTCATTCAGTCCGTCTAAACTGATGAGGCAGCCACACTGCCGCTCAGACGTCAACTGTGTGGCAAATCACTCTCATGCTACAGAGTAGACTCTACAGAAAGCTGAGGGTAACTTGCCATGTAGCTGAGGGCTCCAGGGTCTCTGCTGACACTGTGTGTGTAGCATACAGAGCACCATGCTTGGGGCCAGGCACATGGCAAGTGCCAGTGAGCAGAGCTCTGCCTTCAGAAGACACACTCCGAGTCCTCCTCTGTGCCAGACCTGGAAGCGGACACCAGCGTCCAAACGAGACGCCATGGTCCCTGGAGCCTCCTGTCGCCTCCCGTTGCCCGTGGTTGCTCAGGAGCCCACATCCCTCCTATAGAGGGATGAGCAGTGATGAAAACACGTGAATTAAGTACAGGAAGAATCAAGGGCACGTGAAGCCCATGCAAGACCCAGAGGGGGCATGACGTGTAGGGAGGAGTCACCCCCCCGTCCACCCAGTCAGTCTCCAAAAATATCCAGCTGCCCACCAGACTCTGGTCAAGGAAAGCTTCCAGAAGGGGGCCATGTCCTCAGCTGCTTGGTATCATCTCTGTTTTACTGATAAGGAAACTGATAAGAGAAGATAGGGGGTCTGCCCAGGGTCACACAGTAAGTGACAGAGCAAGAATTCAAACTCAGAGTCCAGATCTTTTCAGCACAGGATTCAGCACTGCCTCTGGTCTGATGGAGGAGCCACAGGCCTGCCCTCAAGGAGCGCCTAGCTTGCTAGACCATGAACATGTTCTCTGTCCGAAGGGATGTCCCGTCCAGCCATCCCTCCCTCACACTCCTTTGGAGATTCGGGGGTATACACACACCAGAAGACCCTGGTCCGTGTACAGAACCAGCTCACTCCATTACTGTGGGCCTGGCTTTCTCTTCCCCATAAACAGCCCAGCTACTCCTCCCCGAGCCCTTCCCCACGTCCCCAGGGCAGGGCGAGCGGCTTCCTCCGCTGGTCTCCTGAGCCCCTCACCCATCCTCACCACAGCACCTGTGATGCTGCCCTCCAGCCCTGGGTGGGTCCCTGGATCCCCCCCCAAGACCAGGAGCTTGTGCAGACAGGAACCATTTGACTTGTTTTGTATTCCCCTATGCCTGGCAACCGTGCCTGGCACTTAGTGGTGCCCCCTAAGTGTTTGCTGAATGAACCTGGGAAGGGGCAAATGGGCAGATGAAGGAACGGGGTAGCACAGGTCACTCACCTCGGTACTTTCCTGGATGGGCAGGGAGAAGGCAACTGGAGGGATAGTGGGGCCGTGCGGTGCGTGATGGGAGCTGAGAGCGTGGTTGAGGGCGCTGGGTGGGAGGGAAGGTTTCCTTGAATAAAGGGCACTTGAGGTGGCCTTAGGCAGAGGGATGGGGTTGGAGGTGACGCATCACCCTTCAGGGCCCGGGGTGGCAGAGGTGTACAGACGACCCAGCCAATGTGATAAAGGCCAGAGAGGTGAGCAGGGCGGGCAACCAGCAGAGGCTGAGTGTGCTTAAGAGACAGCGGGCGAGCCAGGCCTACGGGCCAGACCCCATCAGGCTGCACAGCTGAGGAGCGCCGGGGGGGCAGCCGACTTCAGCTGGTGTGAGGAAGCACCTTCCAATGGGGAAAATGGAAACTTGCTCAAAATGAAGCAGGCCTCTCCGGGAGGGGGTGGGGGCGAGAGAGGGTAGTCCTATCCTGGTAGGAGAAAAGATGCATTCCTAGGACTGGGGAATTTCATAAATGATTGGACATCAACCCAAGATCATTACATAGCCAAATGCCACAGCAGGCCCCCTGAACATGTTAAAACGAACAAGGCCATGCCGTGATGGATCCTCAGCCTCCTGGAGGCATCGCGTCTGAAAGTGAACCATCAGCCACTGACCTCTGTTCCTGCTTCCTCTCTCTCTTTCTCTCCCTCTGTCTCCCTTCACCCTCTAGGCCAGAGCCATGGCCCACCCACCCCTCCGACCACCCCAAAGACAGAGCTGCAGTCGGGCAAGGCAGACCCCAAGCGGGATGGGCGCTCCCTGGGGGAGGGCGGGAAGCCTCACATCGACTTCGGCAACGTGGACATCGGTGAGATCAGCCATGAGGTAATGTCCAACATGGAGACCTTCGACGTGGCCGAGTTGGACCAGTACCTGCCGCCCAACGGGCACCCGGGCCACGTGGGCAGCTACTCGGCAGCTGGCTACGGGCTGGGCAGTGCCCTGGCTGTGGCCAGTGGACACTCTGCCTGGATCTCCAAGCCTCCAGGCGTGGCTCTGCCCACTGTCTCGCCGCCTGGCGTGGACGCCAAAGCTCAGGTGAAGACGGAGACCGCGGGGCCCCAGGGACCCCCGCACTATACCGACCAGCCGTCCACCTCGCAGATCGCCTACACCTCCCTCAGCCTGCCCCACTACGGCTCCGCCTTCCCCTCCATCTCCCGCCCCCAGTTTGACTACTCTGACCATCAGCCCTCAGGACCCTATTACGGCCACTCGGGCCAGACCTCTGGCCTCTACTCGGCCTTCTCCTACATGGGGCCCTCGCAGCGGCCCCTCTACACGGCCATCTCTGACCCCAGCCCCTCGGGGCCCCAGTCCCACAGTCCCACACACTGGGAGCAGCCGGTATATACGACGCTGTCCCGGCCATAGAAGGGGGCCCCACACCCCTGTCACCTCCCGTCTCGCCCTGCCCTTTCCCCCAGCCCTCGCGCCCTCTTCCTCGCCCATCTCAGGCCCGGTGGCGGCAGAGGAGGCTGCAGAGGCTGACAGCTGAGGGGAAGGCCTTCTGTCTGGCTCACTGCCTTTGATGACCCCACCCCGTCCTACCCAGGCTCCGGCCCAGGCACAGCCCTGGGCTACTCGGCTGGGCAGAGGAGAAGGAGGTAGCTTGTTGCCCCTAAACCGAAAAATGAGGGGCTGTACCTTCCCCCCCAGGAATGACCCTCGATCCCAGGATCTGAGCAGGCCCCGCCTACCCTCCTCTGGGAGGGTGAAGCACCCAGGGTCGGTCGGATGGGAATCAGAGGCCTGACCACCCCTGTCCTGTGTTTCCTCTTCTGCGAGGAATAGGGGGTCTGACCTAACCCGTGAAGCCAGGCCACGTGTCTGAAGAGCAGGGCCAACCAGAAACCTGCGTCAGGGACTGCGGCGGGCTCCGTCTGCCCCTCGGTGGGCTGAGAACAGCTTTGAAACGCCTCGAAGGAGTGGGGGTGGGATGGGGTCTCAGAGGGAGGTCTCCTCAACCCTTCAGTGCCCCCCTCCCCTCCTGAACACAGGAAGGAATTGGCACAGAGGCCCTCAGATCCATTTCGGTGCCAGTAACCTCGTTCTTTGTCTGATGGAGCAAAGGGCCAGGTCCCACTCCAGGACAACCTCCCGACTTTGAGGCACACCCAGGACGTGAGCAGGCCGGGACCCCAGGAAAGGATTCGGAGACAATTCACAGAGCCTTCCTCCCGGCTCCCACCAGCCCCCCGCCCCCCAACCTCACCAGGCTCTGTGGTCCTTGAGCTCTCAGCCCCAACTCCTTGGGCTTCCCAGAGAGTTAGAGCTGCTCAGGCCCAAACCCTCGGCTCCAAGGGGAGACCCAGGGCCCAGCACCCTGGTTGCTGGCAGCAGGCTGAAGACACTAAACTCCTGACATGTACATGCTGCCCTGGCCTTTTGCCCTTTGCCTCCCAGTGGTATTCGAATAAAGTATGTAGCTCTCTTCTGCCCCCATTTTCCTATTCTGCAGCCCTCCACCCCCAAGTCCACATGTAACTCATTACTGCCCCCCCCTTATTTATCTCAGTAGCTCCCTCTATCCCCCTCCCCTCTGCTAGGTACTCCAGCCCCTATTAACTCTGCATTAAACATTCCACATAATAAAATTAAAGGTTCCGGTTACCTGCTTGGTGGGCCTGACCTGGTCTCTTATCCCTGCACCCTGCTTTTTCAAATGCTTTCTGGAAGTAGCTAGAGGGTAGAATGCAAAGGACAGATAATCCAAAGGTCCCCTCTCTCTTGCCCAGTGCAGTAGCTCAGGACAGCTGGCATCACAGTGGGGTCAGCGGGTGCTCAGAACTGAGGCCTCAGACTGGAGCTCTGCCCCCAGCCCAGCGGTGTCCACACTGCAGGTGGGCCACTTGCTGGCTCAACTGGAACTCAGCATGAGTGCCTTCCAAGCAGCCCATTCTCACCCAGCAGAGAAGGGGCCTTGCAAAGACTTCAAGGAACAAGTATGTGAAAGGTAGATCAGGTCTGAGGTCTTGCTGTCTGCAGTCAGTAGGCCTGGTCCTTTAGGATGGGTGAGTGGGCCTTCTCTCACTGTAACTTCCACTTGCCACCTCCCCCAGCAACACAAACACACACAGATCCACACCAGGATCTAGCAGCTGCCCATGTCTAAGTATAAACTAGGATGGCAGACATACCATCTAATCCTTTGGGGCTTCCCCCGCAAAAGCTCTTTGCTCAGCAGAATTCCAACCTGCACTCTGGGACCTGGGGCTCCTCCACCTCAGGGACAGGGGAAATCTTTTCTCTACGCTCCATCAATGGACAGCTCTGATGGCTGAAGTCTCCCCTTCCACCCAGTTCATAGAGACACTAATAGCTCCCATGTACTGGGTGCTTCCTGGCCGAGTGCTTTAGATCCTTCTGGCCTATGAGGGAGTGAGCCCAATCGTTATCCCCATTTCCCGGACACCGGACTTGACACTTTGAGAGGTGGGTGCTAAGAAGTGCTGGTACAGAATCTGAAGCCAGCTGACTCCAAACCTTGCACCCTTAACGATCGTCTCTTCCACCTGCCCTATTTCCACTTGTAATCTGAGGCCGTGCTTCCTTCACGGCTCCAGACCAGCATCCCTAGATCTAGTGTCCATTTCTTCTATCTGTGGGCTCCAGCCCCTCACCTCCTAGTCAGGACCTCGGGTGGGGGAGGGGGCACCAAGAACTAGCCCAGTTCTCCAGGGCGGCCAGACCGCCACCTGGAAGCTGTGTCCTGCAAACTCTTCAGGCCACTTCGCCAGAACCGCTGGCTCCCATGAAGCATAGTGGTGACTACAAATCCTTCCTCTTGTAGATAAAACCTGCAGCCACGTTGGACTGCCCTGATCTGTATACAAGCGGTTTTCTGCTGCTTGGCTGTCGTTGTATTGTAGATAAATGCAGGATTTTTGTACTGGTCTTGAACAGATTTCATCTTTTTGCATTTGACCATTTCCCCACCTGTGTTAGATCCTTTGAATTCTGAGTCCAATTTATAGCTCTCCCGAGCTTCATGTTTGAAACTCGAATATCCTCATTCAGGTTACTAATGAAAAAAGATTGGAATGAGAGGGACAGACCCTGTGTCCACCACCGAAAACCTCTCCATTCTATCATCTATACTTGGAAAGCTGTCCAGACAATTCTGAATCTAATTATATCACCATGAAGTACCTGCTTCTCTATCACAGCCACACAGACTGCCTAATGCCTTGCTCAAATCAAGGTTCCCTGTATCTGTGGCATTCCTCCAACCTACCAGGCTGGTAACCATTGGAAAAAAGAAAATTGGGTGCACTTGGTGATATCCTTAGAAACCCTATGCTAGCTCCAGAATCTTTTTATTATCCAAGTGTTTTCAAATATGCAATAGCCTATTCTAGAATTTCATTAGGGGGTCAATCAGGCGCTCCTACTTCTTACAACCTCCCTTTTCCTCTATTGAGTAGCAGGACATTAGTCCATTTCTAGCCTGTCCAGTGTTTCCTATGTGCTCCTGTGTTCTCTGGGATTGTGGACGTGGAGCGGGCAGGGCAGGTGGGAGGCGCTACATCAAAAAGATGAAATCACCACCTGCATGACCTCAACGAGACTGGAGAGTCACTGGGGACACGGGAGAAGAGGGAACGGCCCGCAGAAGTCAGAAGACATGGCTTGTGCTCATTCCTCAGACCTGAGATTCCGGATGAGCTCGGGGCCTCAGTCAAGTAGTGGCTCCACAGTAAACAGAGGAGGGACAGGTGTATCTGGAGAGGGTCGAGGAGATGGTGCCCTGGCCAGGCCAGCTGAGTAGCGAGGGCCTGACTCTGTGAAAGCGGAGAATGGATGGGGCAGGTGGGAGGGTAAACACCCCTTTCTCCATCTCTCCTCTACACCCTATCCCCTAAGGGTTAACCCCCTCCCTCCCCCAGTCCCTCTCTCCTCCGCCACCCCAGCCCCATCTCCCTTTAATCACATCTGATACTGAGCGGCCCAGCAGGAACAAAGAGACCATTTAGAGAAACGGGGCCGAGAAAGTGACCCCCGCACTCTGGGGCGGCCGCCTGGATGCCAGCACAAAGGCGGCATTTCAGAGCTGAAATTTCAGCACCCAACTTGATTAAAGGATTCCACAGGCTTGGAGGAGGGTGGAAGGGGGTGCGAAGTCCACTGCTCCCTGAATTAACCCTTCTCCAGAGCAGCCAACACCCCTCCCATGCCTGGGGATGCTCATCACTTCCACCCTGTCCAGGGTGCACCCGCCCCAGGGGCCTCGCCACTTGCAGAGGTCAGGCAGGCCTGGCTCTTCCTCTTCCTGGAAGTGGGGGCTGGCAGCAGACTGAAGGTCAAGGCTGGAATATTCAGGGAGATGGGTTTCCTTCCCATCCCTATTGGTGTCAGTATATATCCTCTCCTTGTTGTCTGCTCCCGCACCCCAAGGGAGGGAGGAGCCAGTGTGATCAACTGGATTTAATGTCACGCCTTGAACCCAGAAGCCCTGCTGCCCGGCCCACCATCACCCCAGCACCCATCCAAGTGAAGGCCCTGGAGGGATCAGGGTCTCCACACAGAAGGGAAAGGAGAGGGTATGGGTGTGGCAGACCAGATGGGTGGGTCATCCGGCGTATGGGGAGTGGTCTGACAGGTGGGGAATGGGAGGGGTGGTGCGGCTGGGATGGGCAGGTGTTCGGCCCTTGCTCCAGCTGCTGACTTGCCCAGTAGGGCTCTCTCGGGGAGGGCAGGAGATCACAGCATCCCCAAGCTTCCTGCTGGGGGCACTGGCTCCTGAAAGGGGATCCGAGCCCATGATAAGAGGCTCGAGGCAGGTCCTTAGGAAAACAATGGGTGGCTTGATGAGACCTGCTCTGTGATACTCCTGAGAAGGGAGAAGCCCCTGCAGCCAGTCCCCACTGGAAAGGAAATTGGGGGTTTCCGTGGCAACCAGTTCCCTGGGCACAAAGGCTCGTCTGTCTGCTGGGAAGGCAGCCGAGGTGTCTCCTGCAGCAGCCTCTGCTCTGGTGGACTGCTAGATGGAGGGGGGGACGCGGGGGAGCCCAGGGGGTCAGGGCCCTGGTGCTTCTTAAAGAGCTGATGGTCCCAGGGCCACTGGGATGGGCACAGCCTCCAGGCAGCAAGGCAGTAACAGTGAAGATGGAGGTGGGCCTCACAGGCAGCAGGAGGCAGAGGGGGTTGAAAGTTGAAGAATTTACTATTTACACGTATAAAGACTATAAAAAGACTATGAGACAAGCCATGGGCGGAGGCCCAGTCCAGAGGCTGACTCCAGCTCAGTCGGTGATGATGAGCTCGTCGACACCCCAGTCTTCGTAGCTCCCGTCAGGCAGGTAGCGGCGAATGATGATGGGGATCTTCCGGGCCCTGTAACCGGGGAGAGATAGAGGTACGTGAGGATGCGACCCCGGCTCTGCAGCAGAGGGACAGCAGGTGCAGAAGGCAAGGGAGGAGAAGCCTCAGGAGCATCCTCTTGAGACCATGGATGTACTTTGTAGGAAAGGACTTTCAGCCAAAAAAAAAAAAAGTCCCTGATTCTCTGAGTGTGGGACCAAAATCTACAAAGGGCCTGTCATCCCACAGCTGAAGGGCGAGGCAGAAAGCAGAGGGATGTTGGTAAGGCCAACTGCAGCAGGAAAAGGGGTGCTGGGACAGACAGGGACAGTCCATGTCTCGTCAGGGTCCTCCCCTCCCCCTTTGCCTGTCCCCTCCTCCCCCTTGAAGGGCTGACTCCCAAACTAAGGGTCTACAGGAACAAGGCCACACGTCCCCAGCAGGGAAGTGGGGCAGGGTGTGCAGCAGAGCGCCCAGCGGATACCCCTGGGCTCTGCAACCATGAACCAGCATCTGGGTGACTTACTTGAGCTCCTTCATGGCGATCAGTAAGGGATCTGTCTCCCCCTCCAGCTCCACCATCACGGGGGCACACATCCTGCAGGTGTAAGGACAGGTGTGGGGAGATTACACACACAGGAAGAGGGCCCAGCATGAAGCTGGGGAGAGTTTCACGAACAGGAGCAGATCAGCACCCCAGAGCCCACCTGGAGAGGGCAGCGAGAGGGGACACCTCCCCCAAGTGGCAGGTGCGGAGCAGTGGTTCAGGGGTGCTGACAGCGAGGGCACTCGAGTGACAGCCAGTAGACTGGGCTTCAACTGGGCCTCAAAGACCCTGAATCTTTCTCCCAATCTCAGCATCCTCATTTGAAAATGAAGACAAAAAGCCCTGCCCTACACAACAAGAATGCTAAAACAGTACTAGCTAATAAGCAGACTCACTAAGTGCCATAGCTGCTCTCCAGATTATTTCATTTGTAGTAAATACTACCGGAGAAGGCAATGGCACTCCACTCCAGTCCTGGAAAACCCCATGGACGGAGGAGCCTGGCAGGCTCCAGTCCACGGGGTCGCAAAGAATAGGACACGACTGAAGCAGCTTAGCAGCAGCAGCAGTTAGTACTACTGCTACTTCCATTTTACTGAGGCACAGGAAGGTCAGTAATCTCCCCAAGGTCACACAGCCAGTGAGTGGCAGAACAAGATTTGAACCCTGAAGACTCCTCTCTACTGTGCTGTAACACCTCCCATTAAAAACCTGGTGATCCACAAACTGAAACCAGGTACTGTGAATGGGACAAGCATGCGCTTTCATTAGTGCGTCGGGTGACATTCATCACGTCCAC